AAAGAAAAGTATCGAGTATTTACTTGTATCGATGACAAGACACACTTAAGCCCAGGGCCCGTTGTGATGCTGCATATGGGGTCGGCAACACTCAATCACTCCTAATACAATTTTCAGCAGGAATTTTAAAAGATATCTGCTCTCCATGCATACAAGGTTTCCCATGTTATCGAAGAATTGTCAACCCAGACTGGAGAGTCTTCGCCTGGATAGAACAAGGGCATTGTTTCCTCCTATTTTTCATCTTGACAACTTCTACCGAAGTCATGTAACCATATGCCCAGTCGGTAGGCGAATTATATAGTCCTGTTTTATGACACCAACAAACTAACATTATGTCTAGGCTCAGTATTAAGGCAATGCGTTTATCGCTGAACGAAGATCACAATTTCGTGGCAGTTTTGCAGGTGATTTCGTTATGCCATCTGTCGTTCGCTACATTAGTGAGCCCTGTCGGAAACAAGTAGCTTACAAGTTTCATCTTTTACATCCTTAATAGGGATGGCCAAGTCGCGCCAGTTCATCGGCCTTACAGTTCCCCTCAATGTCTCAGTGTGCCGGAGCCCATATCACCTTTGGGCGAAACGACTCAGCCATCCCGTTAAAGTAGGTGAGGCATTTCATGGCTACCATAGAGATTGTCTACCCACCATATCACTATACCGTGATAGAGAATTTACTTAACTACTGTTGCTTAGACTCAGATATTTGGTCTCTGCCTTTACTGCAATGTTCTTCCCGCAAGAGTAATATGATCGAGATCAAGTATCCCGTGCTTTCTTTACGGAATTCACTTCTAGTCCTTGCCTGGTACACTATAGGAATAGTTTGTTGAGAGTTCTGTGAATTTGATCGGCCAATGTTGAGATTTGTTTACCCGAGATAACTATTACAATCTCCTCGACGTATGCAATAATCTTCCCGTGAATACCTCCAAGTTCTTGAAGGAGACTGTATACTGCTATGTTCATAAGATGAGGAGAGAGTGGAGTGTACCCCTGACCAGGACTTTTTAATTATTGATTCACCCAATCCTGCGCTTATTTCTAAACTCTTTTGGCCTCATGTATGTAGGTTTCCCTGCTTAAGGAATGAAAACTATTTTTAACTCTTCCCATTTGTGGGATTATAATTAAATCTTGACGCAGCCTCAAAGACGGGTACGAGTATGGGTGCAATAATTTATATTGTATGCTGTAGGTCAGCGGGAACGATTCTGTCTGGTCCCGGAGACTTATACGGGTTGAAGCTGTTAATAGCACGTTTTATGTTATCCTTGCTAATAATGTTTACCGCGAAGGCAACCCAGAAAGTGCGTTCATATTAGAAGCTCAAATGTTTCTTCGCTGCTAATTGTCCAATCCACATCTTTCTTGACGAGGTAACTATGTTGCTAGAACTCATGTATAGTATTTTGCTCTGAGTCCGCTGACCTCTGAAATACTTTCTATCTTTGGACAGAAGTTTCTCCATAAGCGTCTCTGACTACCTACTGAAATCTTTGTGCATAGGGAAAAACAATTTTTATTTTTTTTTTTCATTTTCATTTAATTTGAAAAAAATTCCATACCTTTAAGCGGGCGTGAACTTGGATAACAGAACTTGAAGCGGTAGTCTGAACTTGTCGTATTCTACCAGTTTAGAATTAAGTAGAATATTTACAGACCGGTTGTTGGGAGTTCAAGTTCTTATTGTCTTTATACTGAACCAAAATTAAAGAAAAAATCTACTGTTCATGACAGCTTAAGGAAAATTACGAATTGCTCTAACAACTTTGCTCAGAAATTAAACAAAAATTGCATCAAATGTAGTACAACATTTAGAATACCGTGTGGGAAAAAACTTTAATTTTGATGGCTACAACGGATTTAATATTATTTTGACGAGTTTTGGAAAGAGCAACGTGGTTAGACTCCACACCATGATCGAGAAGAGCGTAGGGCGGTCTGAAGAGCGATTTCTCGTTCGAGTACAAGTGGAACCGAGTGCATATTTCCTAGCGATACTTTGAGTAGTATCGAGTATTCTCTTTGATACTTTTAATTAGCACAGACATCGAGTACATGGGGGTATCGGATGAACACTATGTATGTATAAAGATGGCGAAATGGTTCAAATGATAGGACTGTTGAGTTCAATAGTTCGAAACTACTTCCGTTTTCCTGCAGGGAGCTTTCACTGCAGGATACCTGCAGGCATTTATGTATCTACATATGTACACAGATACTCATATATGCATATGCATTGAGTTGGCAAAGTGGCGGCAGCGCTTTTGTCGCGCAGAAACCATTCGCGCATGCATCGTCTTTTATGTTCTTGCTTTTGTGCATCTCCTTTCATTCATTTCCCCATTGCTTTACTTTTTTTTCTTTTCTTTGCACACCAACCAAGTGAGCAGCCATAACGGATTGTTTAATATTCGAAGTCATTATGCACGCATTGGCATGGCATATCTATTCAACAACATGCAAACATATGCTCTTTGGAATCATTCAAGCGTTTGGTAGAACTCCTCTAAAACAGTCGCGCCTGCAACTGTTGGGAGACACTCTTCTTAGTTTACATTTTTATCTATTTTGCGAACCGATAACAAAACTTTCGCGAGTTTTTTGTTTCTCTACCAATCATGGCAGCCACTATACCGTGGCCAGTAGCCATTGGCAAGTGCTATGGTCTTTGTCCGAAGATGGTTTAATGTTTTTTCGAACCGTCGTTAATCCGGTTTTACATATTGTAGGGTGTTCTTTATTGTTTGCCAACGCGTAAGGCCAATATTTGGGAGTGTCAAGTGCTGCCTTAAAGCGTAGTTAGTCTAGACTTAACTTAATTTAACTTACCGTAAGAAATCATCAATGATTACTCAATACGTCAACTTAAACCAGAAGCGTGAATATTTGGTTTTTGTGTTTTCTTTTTCAGCTGTTTGGCAGTTTTCCATCTAAAATTCCAGATCGAAAAAAACTCATGCAAACAAATATGTTTGCGTTCATTTATTTTTGAGGAATGCAAAAAGGAAAATGTGGCAAGCCTGATTCTCTCACTGCTCTCAATTTCTGTAAGGACGTAACTTAAGAATCTGTAGGTTTCGTAATTTTCTTACGGTGAGTTAAGTTATAACTAACTAAGTTACGAAAATTAACTCACGAAAATTAAGTCTAGACTAACTGAGCTTTTAGTTTGAGTTTGTGGAAATCTTCTAACCATCCCTACTCCAGAGCTCAGTCCGCAGGTAAACCTTTTGTTTTTTTTCTAACAACGGGCACTTTGAAATTCTGAAAGCCTAGCCTAGACAAGCTTCATCAAACTCCATCTATTAATTTTTGATGAAAACTTTTACTCAGTTGAGCTTTCGACTCGAAAAGTTTGGCGTTAAAAACGGTTTGGAATACAGATTTGGCCTTTTTTTGGCTATCAACCACGTTAACCGATTTCTATAATTATTTTTTTTACCACAGAGATAAAATTATAATTTTTTTTTATAAGAATTGAAGTCGGTTTCGTTTTTTACTTAAAAATTACTTGTTCGTTTCAAAATTCTGTAAATTTTTTATTTTTTGAAATTTTTCCAATATATTTTGTATATAGCTCTAAATATCAACTTTAAAATGAGTCCAGAAACATGTTTGTAACTACATAAAATAGTTTTTGAGATATTCAGAAAACAAACACGTAAAATCCGAGAAATTGTGAATTTTTTCCTTTGGCAGAACTGTGTTACATGGTCAAATAAATTACCGAAATTCATCCAAATCGAAAATTGTCGGCTTGAAAAGTATTTCACTGGTCTAGGAGCTGAACGTATATTGAAGATTAAGCACCGAACAGAGCACCGAAGCTCGCACACCCTCAGTCATTTTAGAACCATAGGCGTGAGGGTCGTAGAACTTTCTTCCTAGAAGTTCTTCATATTATTACTCTAAGTCCTTTCTTAAAGTTGTTTTAACGTTGTTTTAGCAGTCAGTAAGTCCTTTTATATACTGTAACCATGCGGATGACGTCTCCTTAGGGAAGTGCCTGACCACACTCAGCTCAATTGTGGGTCAAGCACTGCGAGACATACACGGTTGGGCATCAACGAAACAAATACGTTTCTACTAGAAACTTTCTAGTACTCTTCACTAAGGAAATATATATAGGATCCCGAACTGCCCTAGACATTTTGTTGCATCTTTTGCCGGCAGACCGGTCAGTCGAATAGGTAGTATAGCGTCAATATTCTCTGGGTGGATTGACTCTTTTATACCGGACCCGCACTGTGTAAGGTGCATGAGGATGGCTGACTTGGTGAATGTTTACATAGATGGATCGAAAATGAACAAGGGTGTAGGCGCGGCAGAGTTTTGGAGTGTTGGCTTCAGCTGTGATAAAAGTTTGTTAACCGCTAATTTCCACATCAACGAAGGCATTAACTTTGAGGAAAGCCTTTTGTTTACCTTCTATGAAATTATCGATGAGCTCTGCCCAGCCATCACTGACCTACAATCAATGTAAAAGATTTTCGATCCAGGAACGTAAGGCAATGTCCACCAACCAGGCCTCTGCGAAGACATTATTGAAGGCTCTCTATATATTAGGGAAAACGCCGATGGATACTGTCGGTAAATCATATCTTTTTCTGCTTGCAACACAACTAATGGCGTTTTCTTTTCTACATAAAGTGTTGCCTTTTGATCGCCCTATTCTTAATACTGGGGCGCACAGGGCAATGAGAAGGTAGCTTTTTCCGGTAGAAATGAAAACGCCATAAGTAAGTCTATACCGAGTTTTATTCATTGTTATTAGCCTTGAAGAAGTCCTTTCCTTCAAGGCACGATTACCAAAGGTATCAAAAACGTCAGAGTAGCGGGTTTTTGCTCCTTTCACCATTTTCTTTCCGGACCAGTGGAGATATTGTCAATATCCTTCAAAATATCTAAGTACAATAAAATCCATCTTCTTACTACTATTTACTGATGTAACCGGCTTACTAAACTACCTTTTATTATCTTCTTCTCCCACAGTTTGCCACCACCTTCAGCACCAACAACTCCGACAAAGAGCTTCGCAAACAATTTCAAATTGGAGCCTAATCTTAGCGTGAAGGAGTTCAGCAAAAGTCAAACTGAAAATAGTAGCGAAGGACCGCCAGCGCCAATACGTAGGAAATACAAAAAGCGCGTGCAATTCAGTGACGCACTCAATGGTTTCCCTAAAATGAAAGACTTTTCCAACTTTTCCACGAAAGCTAAGAAACACGATCAAAAAGCGAAAGGTACTGCCAGTGCCACTGGCGGCGCAAGCGATACATTGCCCGATGTGTTGGATTGTCGCATAGCAGAGAAGATCAAGAGCGAATTGGAGGAGAAGTCCGCATCCAAAGTGCCAGCGCATCAGAATGCATTGTGTCTTAAGAAACCGGGCGAGGGCGGTGCCATGGAACCGCAAAATAATAGCGACGATGATGAGGATGAAGATGAAGAGACAGAAGCAAACGCTACCGGTGATGCAGCAAATGCAGCTCCTGCCACCGTTGCCACCGTTGCCACCGTAGCCGTTGCGGCCGCCGCTGCTGCTGTCATCGGAGACGTAGTAGATGCCAACAGTGCAGCAGCAACGCCAACTCCATCGCTCACAGCACCGTCGGTGGTTTCGGCTAGTAATTTCCGTGCGCGTGCGAAAGGCAAACGTGGTCCTAAAAATGTGCCAGCGCTGCCAGTCAACAGCTCATTTAGTAGCTTGGGCACCAGCATTGCCGACGAGGAAGAAGACGAACTCGACGCCGAGACAGATGGTGATGATGAAGATGAAGAAATGGATGAAGAGGCGTTGGCACGTGAAATGAAGAACGAACAGAATTTTGTAGAAGAAGAGGACGAACACGATATTGCCTTCCGTTCGCAGCAATCGTGTCGCGAATGCTCAATCACGCATGACTACAAAATCTGTCCATTGCGCACGTCGATTGGCACCATAACCGACGCTGTAGACCTGGCCGAGTGGATTGAACGGAAAAATCTTGAAGCCTTGGCCAAACTTAAACACGATGCACAACGGCAGGCGAAACAAGATCACGATCCAGACGATGAGGACATGGACGAGGCATCACAAATGTCCGAGCTCGAAACCAAGCCGCTTATAACTTTCGCCGAGGCGTCAGTGCCAGCCGAATTCGAGCTGCACAATGTAGAGCCGAATGTGACCGGCGTTTTTGCGCGCACAGAAGTGCGCGCTTACACCAAACTTGGCCCGCTGATCGGGCAGCTAGTACCGAGCAGCGATGTGCGCGAAGGCAGCGATATGAAATGGATTTTCGAGATATGCGAAGCTGGCGCAGAGAAGTCACAACTGTTGACATGCGACAATCCGAATACTTCTAATTGGTTGCGGTACATACGACCAGCGCCCACTTATGAGGAGCGTAACGTTAATCTTGTATCGATTGAGCAGCAGGCATTCTTCGTCACCTGCCGCGATGTTAAGAATGGCATGGAACTGCTCTACTGGAGCGACGACTGCAATACGATGTGGCGCAAAAAGCACACGGAGAAGACGAGTAAGTGCAGTTGAAATTTAGCATTAAAACTGGGTTCGGAAGCCCCTTTCTCATCTTTCTATTTTGCTTACAGATTGTGGCGGTTGCAATTTGCGTTTCGATCATCCGCTCTATTATCGCACGCACTGCTCCATTTTTCACGATCCCTCAATGAGCCTCACCATACGCAAATACCATTGCAAAGTATGCGGCGAAGCGGTGCTCGGCAAGGACAACATCACGAAGCATGCGTCCGAGAAGCACGAAGGCAAGGGCGCTTACCAATGCCAATTTTGCAACAAGTTCTTCCTGCGGCTCAACTACTTGGAAATGCATCGCACCTACGGCTGTGCGGCCAATCCGAACCGTGCGCGTCCACTTTGTGATTTTTGTGGTCGTAAATTTTGTCAACCACAAAAGCTCAAGGCTCACATCAAGCGCATGCATAGTGGTAAGAAGAAGAAGAAGCAGAAGCACAATTCGTAATTTGCGGTAGACATTTGTATGGTCACATCTGTCGGACCGATTACTGCGCGCACGAGCGTATATGTATATGTTTGTGCGTATGTATGTATGTGTGTTTGTGCGTATGTTTGTACCGCTTTGTAAAATGCCTGTAGTTTGTATGTAAGTAGAAAGTCCCAGTCGGCAAAATCAAAGATCTAAAAGGAGTGATTTTTTCTTCTTATTTTGCCGGCTGGGGTGCTGTGCGCATTGCATTCCGAGTACGTCTAGACTTAAGTGTATGTACCATAGTGATATTTTATTTAATGCCAGTACTAATACTCGTACATTCACTCCATCATTCGGTTCACACGACAAACTTTCATTCTATTTTCGTGTTTGGTTCGAAAATTGGTCAGACATTATTCTCATAAGTTTTCACATATGTATTTCCCTTATTTTTCACCCCTCGAAATTATATTTTAAATATCAAAAATTCTCCCGTAAATCTCGAACTCTCCTTCAGTATAAAGGAAGTTAACTTTCAGTAAGTGTAGTATCATACAGAGGCACTCTTAGTTTGCTTGCTATGCTTTTGAATCATCTCTCCCAAGTATAGTATGTATTTATTTGAAGTAGAATATAGTTTATACATTTGTATATGAAGGAATTGAACTATTTATATGGCAAAAGATTTCGAAATATTCCTCAAATTAGATCGAGAAACCGACATCCAAAACCCTTTTCGATAAAGACGTCTTAGGCTGGATAGAGAAAGCCACGAACACCTGGGTCAACTATCTTTTGTAGTCAGCTCATGAAAACCGCTTCTTACTTTTAGAGACCTTAGCGAATAGATTTATTATAGAAAAGCAAAGCAAAATGATTTAAATTTTCACTTTTATTATTTCGAGCAAAAATTTCGACCGGAAAGGTACGAAAAGTTCGGAAATGTCAAACAAAAACCCAAAAACCCTCAAAAATTTCGTAAAAAATCCCGAAAGTATAGAGAAAAGTCCGAGAATTTGGAAAATTAAAACTCGAAACTCCTAAGCATCCAAAAAAATATGGGACCTGCCTAAAATGCACTTTTGGACCTAAAGGTTCTCGAAAAACACGAAAAGTACCGGAAAGGTGCGAAAAATTCTGAAAAGTCAAACAAAACCCAAAACGGGTTTAAAAATACCGACAAAAAGCTACAGACGTCGAAAAGTCGTGAAAAGCCCACAAAAATCCTAAAATTTTTTATAAAATCTCGAAAGGTCACGAAAAATAATTAAAAATATTAATGGCTCCAAAACAAATCTTGAAAAACTCTCAAAGACCTGACAAATCCACATGTCCTAGTTTTCGACCAGCAGCAGTTGTACATGTAGTCAGAAGCACACCCACTCTCCATGTGGGTCCCGAGTGGGACTTTTTTAAATCATGAAGAAAACACTTTCTATAATAAAAGATTATTCTAATAGTATCTTCGGCGCTCGCTGAGACAACTTGAAGCTCATTTGTGCTGAGCAGTAGACCGCAGATTCTGAAGGAATCTCCAATTCTACACCTGTCAGAAGAAATTCCTTTAGAGGAGGGCACTGCCTTGTCAATTTATCAGAAGTGCAAATCAATCTGATTTGGTAGTATTAAAAAGCAACCGAGAGCCCAGCGAAAACGCAGCAATTATTTAACGACAGAAGGTCAATTTTAAAAAAGAAATAATTTTTTTCGGTTCTTCTCCTTTACTTGAGTTCCCAAACACGTTGTAATCTCTTTGGCAGACTTATTCGTCAGTCAGCTCATTTCCCCAAACATCATACTGGACCCGTGAGTGATTAAATCAGAGGTATCTTTCTAGTAAGAGAAGGGTAAGCATATTTTCCTCCAAAAGAGAACAAAGGTATCTTTTTCGAGCTACATCGGAAACCTACTACAAAATTTATATTCAGAAATCCGATCGACTCGACGAGTCCGAAACTAAAGAAATGCAACTGACTGCCAGTGACCTCACTAGCACACCTAGGCCCTCAGATCGTGGGCCCTCTATAATACCACGCGGAAAATTAGAAACATAGAAGTTGCCGTATGCTTAGCCCGACTATGTCGGTTAAGTCTTCGAAAAATCCCGAATTCATGATTTTCGTATTCTTTTACAAAAAGCGGGGCATCTGAATGAAAAGTGCCACAAATTTTCTTGCTCTTCTTCATTGAGTTCCTCACCTCTCTGCGTGCCTACCGATGGCAACATGGCCTGTTACCACACCCACGGCTGCGGTTAGGTCCCCTCTGCTCAGTATAGGGAGATCCTACGACCGTTTTCAGCCCCATTTCGGCCACGTAAGTTTCGTTTTGCTGCAAGTGGTGAGACCAGCCCACCTGTTACTTGCTACTTTAAGAGATAGATGAAGGTAGCGAATGGCATGCCTATACCGTTCCAGGACTGCGAAAGTGGTGCGAATGTACCCTCTCTTGCAAGTTCACCTGCCTTGTTTATTCCGCTGCCCCAGCACTCAAACTAAGTGAAGAGCACACTGCTCAGTCATCTCGTTTAGAGATCTGCGACAATCCGCTATGGTTTTGGACTGCATGTGACCGAGTTAAGCGCTTTGAGTACGGCCTGACTGTCTGAGTAGATGAAGATATTGGGCCTCATGCATAAAAAGTGAGCTTAAGCTCCGACTCGATTTTCAGTACAAATTCTTGAGCTTGAGCTCACCCTTTCAGTGCAAAAATTGAGTCTGATCTTAAGCTCACTTTTTATGCATAAGGCCCATTGTAACATATGACTTCTCTTGTACATACATATGTAAGTGTTTAACCGGCTCCAGTATAGCAGCGACTTCAGTTTGAAAGACGCTGCAGTAGTTGGGTAAGCGAAATTATATTTCCATCCCTATTCGGTTTCAGAAGACTCTCCGCTCCTCCTAATTTGCGGTCTAGCTTAGAGCCACCGGTGTAGAGATGGAGTCATCCCTTTTTATTAGGTGCCTCCCCTGACCAACTCGCTTCAGCGCCTTAGAATAGAAAACGTTCTTAGTGAGCAAGACGACTCCAACTTATAATTATCCAAAATAAACTGTTAAGTGCTGATAGTATACAGTACCCACAATCAGATGCGCACTAGTTCTGTTGTCTCAGCGCTTATCAGCTCGCTGATCAGTTTATCCCTCTGCTCAGGTATAAGCAGTCATTGCTAGGTTTGCGCATTTTCAACAAACAAACAAAATCCTACGATCCATGTAATTTAGACATATATAACTTCCCCTTATCTACCACCTAACATGCAATACCAATAACTAACAGTTATAACCAACCAACCAACAAAATCGTAAAATATAACTTTAAGTACATGTAATCAAACTACCATCTTGTGAACCTTTATACTAACCTCTTTGCGTAGTCTTTGCAATAAATCGTATTTACCTAGATGGATAGTAGCTGCTTTTTGGAAACGTACTAACCTTGGTGGCTGATGCTACGTGCCACCTTACATAACCTAACAACATTACGCTTTTCGTACATTGTGTTTGCTCATTTTTCTTTTATCGTTTTCAAAATCGCCACAATCCACCACAAAATTTCATTTTCTTCATAAATTTCATTTTAGATATGGCTGAAGTTTTACGAGATTTTCAGTGTAAATTATGTTCAAAACTTCTAGGATCACGCGCCGCATTGCAGCGTCACTCCAAGGAGGTGCACAGTCGCAATTCGACGGTGGTTAGCTGTCCACGATGTCAGAAGCTCTTCCAGAATCGCAGTAACTTGAAAATTCACATGCTTACACATTCGGGCGTCAGACCGTTCAAGTATGTCTCGTCCTTCATCTCAAACTCAATCTAACCAAATCTCTATTGAAGCTTTACACAAAATCTAGCTTTGCTTCTAAATTTCAATTATTGAATTCTCTTTTTTTTAGATGTTCCGAGCCTGAGTGTAATGCCGCTTTTACCACAAAGCAATGCCTCCAATTCCACTACAAAAAGGTACACAACTATACACAGGAACAGATGCCAAAGATCGAGCGTAGCGTCGCCTACACCTTTGACGCTTATTCGGGTGGCATGAAGGTTGACTTCTTGGGTAAGTTGCTGCGTTCATTAAAACGTTCTCTTCTTATTTTTTTACATTTCATACACACAGAACAAGCACCACGCCGACGACGCAAAAGCTTGGAAGACCAAAACTCGAGACTGAGTTCGAGCATGCAAAGCGACACAGAGTTCTCCGATGACAATATCTTTGAGGCCATCAAGAAATCCGGCAAATCGATCAAAGATCTGTGCCGCAATGAGCCTAACCTTTCGTTACTTTCATCTAAGATCTCGAGCATATTTGGCGAAAAAGTGGTGGGCAGTCGCAAACGCAAGAAAAAGAAAGAACCGCCCACGCCTAATATGAATTTAATGGGCGCGGTGGCCGGCGCTACGGGCGTAGGTGGTGTAGGTATGGGCGTCGGTGGCACCGAGGACGAGGATGAAGACGAACACATGGAGCAGGTGCGCCGCAAGCAGGCGAATGCTCAACTCAGTCTCGTCGAGTCATTTTTGACCACGACTGCGCAACGCCTCACCGCCCAGCAGCAAGTTCAACAGGTGGTTGCCGCCGCGGCCGCGGTTTCGGCAATGGCTGGCGCAGGAGCGGCCGCTGCCGTGGATGATCCCAGTAAGATGCACATTATGTCCGGCCTAAATAGCCAGCATCACTCCATGGCTATGGGTGGACACGCAGTGGCGGGTATGCTTAACGACGATGATGACGAGGAGGACGATGAGGATGACAACGGGCAGGATGACCCGCATGATGGTGGGCATAGCGAGCAGCACGATGACAATAACAGCTACCGGCATCACGCGGGCATGAATGGGTTGGGTCAGAATTTGGTTGTGAGTAAGGGCAGCAAGAAATGGATTAGCGGTGACGATCGTCACCTGTCACGTGATTGCGCCGCCGCGGTGGATCGCTGCGGCATGGGAGGCGGAGGTGGTGGTGGTGGTGTTGGTGGCGGCATTGGCGCAGGTGTGGGAACCGATGCAGCCGTCGCAGCTGCAATGGGTGGCGCCGCAGCTGTAGCAGCCGCCTGCAGCATGGCCGGAAATAGTGGTGGTGTTGGTGTCGGCGTTGGTGTAGGAAATGACATGGGTTTGCCGGCATTTGCGGTACCGCCCAGCACAGTCGACGATGCCAACAAATTGATCGGGCACAATCGAGATTTTCTGGCGCGTTTAATGAATTCGGCTAGCGCTAATCACGCGCATCACAACAATCGCGGCGAGGAGGATGAAAACTCTTCATTCCTTGATGTGGTCGAGTCTAACAATAATAACAACAACAACGGCGCTGGCGCTGGCGGTCAAATGCCACAATATCATCACAACGGCGGCGGTGGCGGTGTAGGCGTGGGCGGAAATATCAGCAACGCGGGGAACGTGATCAACTCAGGCAATGCCAATGCTAATAGCATGGGTGGTACGGGCGCCAACAGCACACCGGGACACCAGGCAGAAGATGCTCAGCTGCAAATGAACTCGTTGGCGCATTCCCAATCGTTTATGAGTTCATTTTACAACAACGCAAACGCAAGACTGAGCGGCGCCAGCAGTGCCTCAACATCGGCAAGCATGCTGGTGGAAGCGGCCTTGAACTCTGTTGGCAATATGATCGACTCGGAAAATAATGATATGAAGGTAAGCATTTCCAACTTAAATATTTTTCGCGACACCTCATCTATTTTCTTTTTCATTCCGCATTTCTAGGTGCCAAATGAGTCGAATATCAACACCGACAGCCCGATGAGCGCACATCATGTAGACAGCGAGACAAATCGCTTCAGCACAGATACTGCCGGCAACCACCACTCCATCAACAGCATTGATAATCTGGAAAACGAGCTAAAGATGATGAAGAATCTCAGTAACTTCCCCATGCAAATACCACCACTACCAATGTTCCCGAACTCAGGCAATACCATGACCTCCTGCAACATATCGCCCAACGCTTCGACACCGACAAACCCTCAAAGTAACCAAAACAATAACGATGTAGAAGTTGATGCTGGTTCAACGCCACGCCCGCAGCATCTGAGTAGCAACGCTACTGATTCGGATGGCTTCTCCTCCGCACATCATCGCACACCGCCCTCGCCTCAGCCCATCTCACCAGGTCGCGACTATGGCATGTTCAACAATACTAATGCTTCGGGTGCCAACGGCACACCCGGCGGTCCGGGTACAGCGGGCAGCAACAGCAGCGGCAACAGTGGTAGCGGCAATAGCAACAATAACATATCAGCATCCTCGCCTCTGCCTACAATGCAGACACATAGGCGCAACGCCTCCAGCGTGAGCAGCGCATATCCAGAGCACGAGCTCATATCGCCAGCATCCTCGCCGTCCATACCACGATATAATTTCAACGGCGACATGATGCGACACAAACGCGTCGAACATGAAAGTGATAGGCGGCAAACGATTGGACACAATCCGCATCTATCTAGCGACGACGAGAACAGTATTATTCCGCAAAATAGGTAAGCGCAAATGTAACAGTTTTTAATTACTCAAATGTTCATCAATCGTGCTGTTTACTTTGTCACAGCTCTGGCCAGGATATGCGTATGAAATTCTCCCAGTCACAAATGGACCTCATGTATACCAAGTACGAGAGCATGGCTGCCAGTGCAGCGAGTCTCAAGTACAACAATCAAGAGCTCGACTCTCCAGCTGAGTATCGCAACGCCAGTAGCAACGCGGCATCCGGGCCCAACGCCAACGATTTGTCCGACTTGCAAGGGCTTGACATGTCACGCTCCAGCGTTAGCGCTTCCAATTATCATCACAATTTCCAGCTCCCTGGCAGCGCCAGCTCAAACATAAGCGGTATTGGACGTTACCATCATCACATCTACGATATTCTCTCCGAGCGTGAGCAACAAACCCAGCAGGCTCAGACACAACAACAGCAACATCACAGTTCAGCGGTGGCAGCAGCTGCTGCTGTGGCAGCACAGCATCAACAACAACAGGAGCACTCAAGCCAGCTGGTTATGCAGCAACACCAATCCGCCATGCACAACATGCTGCCCGATCAACTGGGCGAACAGGATCACGATCAGACTACATCGGTAGACTTGAGTCGCACAGCTAATTATGTGGTGCCTTCACCACCGCAACTACCCTACAACCATCCACATCACGATATGCTACGTATGGCTTCCTTAGACTTAACGCCAAATACCAATATGTCGGTTGGCAACAATCGTTCCTTCCTCTCCTCACAAATGCAGCATCAGAGTCGTGAGAGTTTGGAACATCATCGGTTGCTGTCCACAGTGGAGCAGCATCGCATTTTAGCCGCCTCTAATGTGGCTGCCGATCAGCATCGCCTGCTCGTCGATCCCACCGCACATCTATTGATGGAGCAAAATAATCGTCTGCTGGGCACCGATCAGTCGCGCCTACTCGGCGAGACGGCCCAAAATAGGCATATGGCACGCAGTTTTGGCGCTTACCATCAGGTAGCCTCGGGCAATTATCATCCCAGCGTGCGGCCACCAGTATTGCCGTCCGCGAATCATCATACTTCCAATCCCTCAAACTATCATCCTTTCCCAGCGTACTATTAAAAGTTGAAATAGGTACTTTAAGTACGTACGTGTAAATTGAGGCCGAAGTAATTTTGAGGACACGTATGTAACTTGTAAATGTTTTTCGTTGAGCGCCATAACTTACACCGGAGACTTTATCTACGGATATTACCAAAAGCATAAGTGGACATCTTTAGTTTCCCGCGTTGAATAGTAAAATTTGTTCACTACCAAATCAGTCCAGTACGATCTTCTTGCTTTAATAAGAGATTTAATCGTTTTCCATCGATACTAATAAACGTTAAGATAAATTTATGAAGATTTGAAAGATACTTCCACCAAAACAGCATATGTGGGTTGCTGACCTTATCATTTACGGCTTACGCTGTTATTTTTGCTGTGCTGGCATAACTAGTAACGCTTAGAGTTCCAGATCATTCTCTCTTTAGTCTTCCAGACTCGTGAATTTATTTTGCAAAAAAGGAAAAGTTGTATATACGATTGTCTTAGGAAGGACTGTGGTCTTTCGAAAGACTGTGGTGAATTAAAAGACAGTTGGCAGAATTGCCCCGTCAGTGGCTTTCAGAGTATATCGTAATTGGTCGTTAGTAAAGATAGAATTCTTGGGCCGCAGAAAGCAATCTTTCATTTCAGCCTAAAGACGCTACAGCAATCAGATTATCGAAGATTGTATATAACTGTCTTTAAGGATAGCGTGTAGACACTTTTTCATTGTATCCGAAATTGAATTGAAGAACTTTTCGCCTCCAAAGCTAAGGTATTTCTATGGGAGGAAGATTCATTGGTAGAAATAGACGACACAACAGCTCCCTAACAAGCACAGAAGCCGAGCTTTGCACCAGTTTTATTTTGCTTTTGTTAACACGTACTTACTATGTATACTTGTTAAGCGCAGATCATCAAAAGGCATCCCTCAAGATAATTGAACCGTGTTAGCCTGTATCCAAGGATGAACTCGAAACAGTCAACAATATAAGAGCACCCAGCTTCGCTGAGCCTGATTGCAACCAGTACTGTGACAGTTTTTGTCTGCATTGTCAACCGGAATTTTTTGTAATCATGGCGATAAACACCAGGATGAGAGAGTAATCGAGAGTGATGAGTATATCATAAAACATAATAAGAAATTATTTTGGACTACAGGCGTCATCATCCCTTACTAATAGCGCCCCTGCAAGAGTGAAGGGCCGCATCTAGTTGCACGTAAAAGTGCTTGGCCCTAACATAATCGAGGGCACATTTTCGTGAGGATCTTTTACTTCCTTGTGAACAAGCCCGCATTGTCCGAATTCGCGACGAGGCCGCTATTAGTCCCATTTTAATAACAAAGTCATATGCATATACAATCATATCAGCTCTTCTTCTTCTTCAGATCTTCCAGTAGGTCATTTACATTCACGCTCCTTGGAAAGAGTGGAACGACCACTCCGTTTGGAGTGTCTCTGTACACTCTACGCTACATGCAGGCGATGTCCCATTCTGACGCGACAGTTCTGTTGTATTTCAAGTTTTGGTTTTCCCGAGCTTATCTAGCGATTTAACTATTAGCTTCACCAGGACGTTATTAAAAGCCCTCTTCTTTACACTGCACAGACCTGCATTCCTAAGAAACAACAAAGTTAGACTGATTATACTGATATCCTTTAGAGAACACAACAACAAAAAATGCTTTAATGCTTTCGCCTTTAGCCCTTCGATTTTCGGACTTATACCTTGGTTATAATGCACGGGGCGAATCGTAACAAATCGCGGCGAATTCGTAAGGAGCTATAGATGTTAGATGCTTCCGTTTTACATTGCGTTAAAGTGCATTATAATCGTTTGAATTCATTGCCCATACAATAGATATTTAAGTGACAGTTCACTCCGTTCCGTTACTTCCATTATAAGCTGAATAAAGATCCCACTCGGAATACAACTCTTTTGGAGTTTATTAAGGAGTCGCCTACTTGACGCACCCAGATCAAAATTCACCTTCCTAGTTATGGAAGGGCTTCTCAATGTCTCAATACACGTTTGTACTCAAATTTCTGAAAGGTTTGCTAAGAAGACGCTCGTCGTCAGTAGGAAATTAACACCCCTATTGCGAGTGTCGACTAGTAGTAGATAAACGACTGTTGGTCGATTATCGATTATCCGTGGTATTTTAAAATTCGTTTTCTCGTTCAATAAATGCGTGTTAATACTGGGCAAATACACACATAAATCGACTTGCACCTTTAGGAATTAGCATGGAAGGGGTTGTCACATATCCAGAGTCGCACGATAGCACGAGAGCTTTGGTCTGACAATAACAGCAGAGCTGCTATATAGGTCAATGGTAGAAGTATTTAGAATTGAAGCGACTATCAGAAGTCATTGACTGCTAGAAAAACGTGTTTATAGAATTGGTCTCCCATATGACAGAATATGCCACAGCAGCATTAGGTCTAACTTCTTTAAGACATACAACTATCGGGAAACACATAATGAAGCAGTTGGCGGATTTGTCTAGCGCTACAAAAAGCGATATGTACAAATCAATAGGCGGTTCAAAATAATTTGTTTAAACTGCAGAAATTTGTGACAGGTAGGCTACGATAGAACAAAATAACATTTTCCACGATAAGAGCACAAATTTTACGCTTTTACGTGCTAATTGGGTCCTAAGCTGTAATATGTAGCGCTACAACTAACCAACCAACAACTGACGTGGGTAACGGGTATTTCCCGGCTGCAGACCCATATGAACACCATGGGAGTAGTGCAGATGATTCCTATCGTTACTTCGACATGACGATGTTATTACGAGAAGAAAGACTCAGCCAGAGGCTAAGCACATTCATTCTCAGCCGCCCGCCAAACTGCTGGGTTTCATTAGAGCACCAGAGCCTGGCGAGGTCTTGTGATGGGCTCTGAGGGCGTAGTACTATTTATATTCAAGTTCGCAGTGCACATCCTCTAACAAATCTATTATATTCTAAGTATTACTATTACTATTAGAACGCTTCAAAGCGTCTACACAGGAGTCTTTGTTTTAAATATTCCACTTCTGAGTTATTGAAAGATATAATTCATTTGATTAAATGATCGTTGCATTATTTTACTACACGAAAGCACATGTTCTCCAGTATGAATAGATGCCAAGGGTTTCGCCGCTTTTTGGCCAAATAAATTGTCGTAAAATCATTGTATAGTAAACTTAGAAAAATGAAGTTTAGTAGAACTTGAAGAAGTTGTAAGAAAACGAAGTAATCTTTTGGAAGCTGTATAAGAATATAATGGGTATGCATGTAAACATAAACTTGAAGTGCAATCTTTAAAAGTAGTTGTGGGATATACATAGTATGTATTTATACCATGTAAACGTATGCGTCAATCTAATATGTATTTATATTATGTAAACGTATGAAATCGGTCGATCGTTAGAATCGACCTTTTTTGAATTGGATAAATTTTTGTCAGAACATTTCTTTTATCGTAAAACGAAATTCTGCCACTGCATACAAAAATAAATTTTCAAAAGTTTAAAATTGTGCAAATTTTCGAATTTCTCAAAAACTGTTATAGCAATTCTGTAGCTCGTTTCTGTAACAATTATCTACCAAGGCGAATTGAGATATGAATTCGCCGCCCTTTTCTCTACTGCTAATGAGTAGTAGAGAATGACGTATATTCTCTACCAGTAGAGAAATAATCGGTAGAGAAGAGTTACAGAAACGAGCTACTGGTCTCATATTAAAGGTGAGACATAAAAAACAGCAGAACTTAAATTTAAAAACAAAATTTGTTACAATTTTTATCTATACAATACCTGTNACATTTTCTAATTAACTTTCTTTAGAGTTTTCAAGGATTTTAATTTCAAAATTCTGTAAATATTTTTTTTTTCGAATTTTTTTTCAAGGTTCAAAAATGTATATCTAAAAATGAAACAGCTTGAAAAATTCAGAATCTATTAAGATCAGTTGGACTAATTGTAAAAAAATGGCAAACATTTTTATAAGATTTTGTTTTTACGATTTCATTTAAAACGAACCCAAAGCCATTTTTGTAACTACAAAATGTATTTTTTGAAATATTCTAAAAGTAAACCTGCAAAATCCCAGAAATTGTGAAACGTAGAAATTTGCATAACTTTCGAAAAACAAATTTAATTTATTTCCTTTGACAGACGAAAAGTTGTGAACAAAATTGTTCCAAATCAAAAATGGCCAATCCCAACCATTGGTCGATTTGTCCTGGATTGATCCATATATAGAACAAACATTTTTCAAACTGCACTTATGTATTTATTTTCAATCTTATTTGATGGTTGCATAACTTAATGATTCTTTTTCCATTAATTAAACCTACATATTTGCCGAATACTCTTGGATAATCTGAATGATTTAAAAATAAAAAGACTAGTGGCAAAACGCTTGGTCTGCTAGAGGAGCCTGTATATTTAGCGATATATTTATACTATAAATAACTGTCCAACTACACCAAATTACTGTTATTTTTTGCATGCTGTTATAGGTTATTGTACTTATATGTATGTATTTATGTAACATCTACTAATAAATATGTTTGTTCCTTTCCCTTGGTGGTATAATTATTAGAAAACTATATTAAAAGTAAAGATTAATAAGTCTACATACTTAGTTTTAGATAATACATACACATGTACATGCATACTACATATATGTATATGTATGTATGTAATCGAGTTAGGTTCGAAA